TTTTTTGTTATTTTATAAGAATATTATATGATTTAAAATCAAATATTTTTTGTTTTTACTAAAAAAAATACAATAAACAAAGAAATAAATTAACTGGATAATATTGCCACTTGTAAATTTCCCATGGACCCAGTTGGATTTAACGTGTCTGCATTGTTCGACACGATTCAGCTTGTTGCCGGTCAAAATCGAAAACCCAACTTTTTTAATTGGTTTTGAACGCTTCCTACGGTTTTTCAATTTATTTAAAATTTTGTCAAACTTACACTTTAAAAAGTATATATATTAGCACCTGACTTAGAGGTTTAATATCATTAATCATGGATATATATATATATATATATTTTTTTTATGGGTTTTGAACTTGTTTCTTGTCAAAAATGTTTTAAAATATATATATATATATATATATATTAAATTTTATTAATTAAAATATTTATAATTAATTTTATATAAGCTTTTATACTAAAATTCATATAATTTTATAGATTTTGAACATATATATTATATTATATTTTAATTTTATATTTTATATCTTATATATGTTAATTAAATTTAATATAAAAATATGTGTAAAATTAATTTCAAATATCACATTTAATGAGATTTAAGATCTTGCATAAAAATACAGAGTAAAAAATATTTTTATTTAAGTTAGTTTAGTTACGTGTAATGAGAATCGAGAGTTAAGCAACAGTTTATGTTTGAATCTGCCTGATATGCATAACCATTTGGTAGTTCTTTATGTCTTGCAAAGGAACAAGGAGAGACAAATATATTTGGCAAATGGGCGGGTCAAGTTGGTTTAGGGTCGGATTAGAATGGATCATGAGTCAGAATAGATTAAGATAAAACGGGTTATGAATCAATAAAAACTAACCTTAACTTATGCATAACAGATTGGATGGAGGAGTTTTTTTTTTTTTTTTGAAAATGGATGGAGGAGTTTTGTTTTGACTAGATTAGTTTATTTGGGTATTTGTGTTTTGTTGAATTGTTGTACTTGGTTAATTATTTCATTTTAAGTAATTTTTTTAATGGAATTTAAAAATATTTTCCTTTCTGTCTTTTTGGGCGTGCGTTGTAGTCTTCGATGAACTTCAAACTTCCACAACATGATGATGATTTTGATTATTATGGGAATAGTAGTCGGGATGGGAGCAGAGGTAGCCAAGGTAGGCACTGTTTTTGAGTTTCTACAATTGAAGTTAAGGAGCCATTCGTATTTTATGCTTGTAAATACGGAGTGAAAGAATTTTACTTTCTTTACACACACATATATGCATCTATTAATTATGTATTCTAATATTCTTACAGATTTCTAGTAATCAAAGTAGTTGGTTTAGAGAGGTTTGGATTAAAGGAATTTACATTGTTTGTTGATTGGTTTTAAGTAAATGGAGCAATTGCAAACCATGGTAACAGGACTATGTCTGAGGAGGGATTGAGCTTCAGTAAGAGGAAGAGGTCTCATAATAGTGAGGTAATGGAGTTCTTCTAAATGAAAATTATAATAGAATTATCATTCATGTTTATTACTGGGAGATGGTTTGGAAGGAGAGCAGAGCACATTATCTTCTATGATGGCTGCTGAATTGAACATAAACAAAGCTTCTCGGATAATATTTTCTATAACTGTTCTTCACAAAAAGTATTTGTGCAGAGGAAAGGTATGCTCCTGATAAACAAACTGCTTCGAAGCCAAGGAACTCTCAGAAAACAAGTGAAGCAATGGATTACGAGATGGATGATTCGCAATTTGAGAAACCCAAGAGACCTAAGAGGCCAAAGAAGAGTATGAATGAAAGTCCTGAACTGACATCTGCTGCTACAGCTCCGCAGTTTCTCAGCAGTCTCAATTACCACCCAGGAATGAGTTTTCTTTTTATTTTTTCGTAATTTCCCAGGAATGAGTTTGGTTCTGGTGATTTTGGAGCTGCAGTGGAACAATAACTCAATCGATGATAATGCCTTGACATGGTAATATCACAAAGAGAAAGTCCTTGTCTCTGTCGGTAATGATAAATCTCAAGGCCTTCCTGCATCTCCCGGGGATATGTCACAAATTGTCAGTGTCTCTTTTTCAACAAGCAACACACAGGCACCCAGCACTTCTAACTGAAATTGTCAGAGGAGGAGGAAGTTAGGGATAGCATGGCCCTACTATATAAATTGTAGTGGGTGGTCTTTTAGAAAATTCGGGAAATGTATAGGCACAAAATTCTGTATGGTTGAATCATGTAACAAACCTCCAGGAGTAAAAAATTTTAGGTTAAATGCCATAATTTAGTCCCTAAACTTTCAATTTTGAATATTTTTGGTTCCTAAATTATTTTTTTGCACCTTCTTCATTTCTAAACCAAAAAATATTTTTTTTTTAATTCTTTTATCAGTTAATATGTTAAATCTATTTATATATACACCTTTTGAATTCATAAACTTAAGTTTTGTTTGACAATGCTTCTCGGTCTTTTAGTCTTTAGTTTTCACATCTTTTTATTATTTTAAAAATATATAAAATATTAATTATAATAAATATTGAATATGTTAAATATATTTTATATATTTTTAGGATGTTAAAAGACCCAATAATTACAAATTAATTGATAAAAGATTTCAAAAAATATATTTTTTAATGCATCAGTAACTAAAATGTTCAAAATTAAGAGTTCAAAAATTAAAAATTACATTTAACGTAAGATTTTAATGGCAACTATTCTTTCTTTTGTCTTGCTTTAACCTCTTTAGTCGCAAAGAGGAGCATTGGCAACACTCTCTTTAAAGATTAGTCATTCCATTATGATGAAAAGCCAATCTAAAACATAAAATCATATTAAAGATTTTGTTAAGGTCAGTAATTTTGATTATAATTTTATTAATTTATAATTTTTTTAAATAATTAGTTATAGAATATATATATATATATTTGTTATAAATTGATTTTAATTTGTTAAATAATAAATTTTAATTATTTTATCAATTATCAATTATTTTTAACAATTAAGCTAAGATAAACACTCGATAATTTAGTAACCTTAACAAATTTAATGTTGGCTATAACCATAGCTAAAACAATGGAGCAAAGAAAAAGATTTAACATTAGCATCAGAGACTAGGAGCTGCATCACCTCGAGGGGAATCCCAGTGCTTTATCATATGCATATTGTCAAAATAGAGAATAAACACAAGAAAGAAGAAAATAAATTGTAAACAAATTGTTTACACCATAAATTACAAAAATTAAAGATCATGCCATGTGTAAAAATTTTTTAATGGATGAAGAAGATTTTGCCATGTTAGATATGCAATTTTAGATCTCATGACAAATCAATTGCCACATTAGATGGAAGGAGTTAAAAAAATATAATTTTATCTTTTGATTACCTTTTTGAATTAAATTGGGTCTGTTTTAGGAGGAAGTTTCAATTATGTGTGTGGGTTACGAGATAATGGGATAGATGATGAAATCTGAAAAAGAGTCTAACCATGTCAAATGTTGAGGTATTCCACTTCTTCAAGATAATTGTCCATAATTTGTGTAACTACAAAAGGTGGAGAATTGTAGCTCGAAAAAGGGAAACAAAAGGAAAATTTTGGATCACAAAGCACACGACCTGCAAATTTTTAGATTTTTAATTTCTCTACAATTGCTCACTTTTGCTTATAGATTTTGAATTTCAGCACAATTTCTAGTAGATTTAGGTTGCTTTTCATCATTCCAGTAGTCAAATTAGTTCATGTATTCGCTTCAGCAATTTCGTTTCATGTAATGAATTACAAGCTTTTGAATTTTTTCAAAATACTATTCCTTTTCTGGCTATAATTAGTTTAATATTTATGATAAGTAACATTTCATCAATTGATTACTTATATAGTGTTCACACTTCTTCTCAATTTGAAGCATATTAGTTTAATCACTGTTTATATCTAATTTTAGTGTTGTTTAGGGTTAGATTTCAAAATCTGCAGTAATTTAATTTTCAGATGTGTTTGTATATACCAATTTAATATGACAATGAACATGTTTAATTTAATTTGGGTACTTCTTTTTCTTACAAGCTTACTTTAATTTGCATGCTATTTAGCTTATTTAGGATTTATTAACTTTGATTCACGGTAGTGTTTAAATTCTTAGAGTTTTCCAAGGCAAGTTTAGTAATCCATCTGTAGGAAGGCATCTCTCCCTCTTGCAAATTGCCTGTAGGCATAGATTTTAACTTTAAACCAACATTCTTCCCACCATTTGTAAGGAGGTCGACCGTGTCCTTTTCTCTTGCTTTCAACAAAGTAAGTGACACATCCACATCCAAATTCCACACATGCGAGGTTACTAGAGGATTTTTGAGAAAACACAAATAAAAAGAAGAACAAATAAAAAGAAGACTACATCAAATGAAAAAAAAAAGATTGCATTTGCCCAAAAAAACAACAGAAGATAGAGAATTTTGAGATGAGTCTTTTTTTTTCTTTTTTTTTTTGGTGCAGAGGATGCTAATTAAAGTCTAAGATCTTAGGAACATGGTACCAATAGCATCTCCATGCATGAACATGCTAATCCAAGCAGGTGGAGTCTGATAAAAGGCAGTACCCAAGAGGGATTGGTGGCCCAAGGAAGCCATAAAATCAGCAACAGAATTCCCTTTGCGAGATGTATGACGAACGATACAAGTACTGAAAGCATCAATTAAGACCAAGATATCAGAAAGTAGGACAGAATAAGGTCCCCTCGCTACTTGACGAGCTTGAATTAATTGAATGGTCATTAATGAGTCCATCTCAAGGATGAGATACTGCAAGTGTAAGGAGTGAGCAAGCTTTAACCCCTCATGGCAGCCCTAAAGCTCAACAATAAAGCTGGAAGTAACACCAATATTGACTGTGAAACCATGGACCCAATGACCCAAGTGATCACAAATCAGTCCCCCTGCAGTCGCACATCCAGATTGATGGTTATGAGAGCCATCTGTATTTAACTTTAGAAAAGGTTGATCCGGAGGTTGCCACCCCACCCATCTTGGTGTACGAGCAACTGTCAACACAGAAGAGTTTCAGGCAATGAAAGTGTCCAAGGCATGAGATCTAGCCTGCCAAAACACAGCACTAGGAGTCATCCTTATTCCTTCAAAAACCAGCTTATTCCTACTCTTCCATATAAACCAAAGCATAGATAAAAACAAACTCGCCTATGAGGTGTGGGTATTGCTCAATAAGTGAGAATGTATTGAATTTTTGAACAACCAGCTTTGAAAATCCAAGACAAAGAAGACCGGTGGCAAAGAATCCAAGGCTTCCCATACCAGTCTAGAAAAATAGCAATCTCGTAGAAGATGAATTGGAGTTTCTATAGCTTGTTCACAACTGGGGCACACCGGAGATGAAGCAAAATGTCTGTCAAAGCGAACAGAATTAGTAAGAACTCTACCCCGCTGTAGTAGCTAGACAAACATTTTGATTCGTTCTGAACATTAGAGTTTCCAAATCCAATCCCATTGTGTTGTGGCCTGACTTTGAGCCAAGCGCTGAGATTGAATAATAAAGAAGGCAGGGCCAACTGTAAAGTCACCATTTTTGGAGGCATGCCAGAACCTTTCATCATCTAATTGATTCATTAGAGGAAGAGGGAATTATAGCAATTGAATCTAGTACATGTTGAATAATAGGATGAGTCTTGTTATTTGCATAAGAAGCTCAAGTATGAGATGAATCTTGTTATTTGCATCAGAAGGACAAAAGCTCAAGTTTGCATCATCCATCAAGTCTTGAAGGTGAATCCGAGCAGGAATTCATCATATGCAATAACAAGATAAATCAAAGCTACCAATTAAAGCAAAGAACTAATGACTAAGTATATACTGTTAATCTACTTCCAGTCTTGAGACAAAAAATAGAACCGCAAGAAGAATGAATTGTTAAGCATACAGAAAGACTAAACCAAGGGAAGTACATAAGAGCTCAAAGGAAAGTCATATCTGTTTTTGTCTGTATAAAAATAAAGATATTTGACTAGCGAATCAACTAGGCTAATTCAAGTCCCACATTGCCAGCGCCTGACTCTTTGACCCTTGCAGGCCAATCCAGGGCAGAAACATGCATACAAACTGTTGACATTTTATGAAAAAAGAAAAAGGGAACATAAAGGCAAACCTGATTAAGATAAGAAATATCTGAAAAAATCACATCAACCATGCCAACAAGCGTTCTATACTGGGCTCGATGCCCAACATCCCCTATGATAGGTACAACGTTTGTTCTCCTCTTTGCCACGTTGACCAAGTCTCTTCCACTTTCATGCGAGGACTCCACTGCACATACCACTCTAGTCTGTCAAAACACAGCAAAAGAACCAATTAGCGCCCCATCACAGGACAAGCAGACTAGTGAAGTTTTTTTTAGGCTAAATGTGAGCTTCAAAATTGTTGCATTGAGGTAAATTATTACTCAAAATTTTTTGATATAATTTATTATTTTAAATTTATATTTTCAAGAAATAAGGTGAAATTTAATAGTTTTCGTTAAATTTTATTAAATAATTGCAGTTAAAGTCTAATAAAAAATTAACAAAAACTATTAAATTAATTTGAATCAGTTTTTTGAAAAAAAAAAAATTAAGGTGATAAATTACATTAATATATTTTTTTTATGGAGATTTACTTTAACATGACAATTTGTGGGGAAGTATCTTATCTTCAGCAATGGGTACTTACAGGGCCAACAATGTCAAAGATATGAGAGACGGTGATCCCAGAGCCTGCCCCTAGGTATGGAACTTTAGAACCAGGTTTCTTCATTTAACAACAATTAAACACAAAATTTACAAATTACATGGGTCACATCTCCAAAAAGATGTTATGCCTCAAAAAGAAAATGGCATATGCAACACATTAAGGAAACTTAAAAGGAAGATGTAAGCAAGACGTACTTCCAATTCATGTCTTGTCAATGCCACTAAAAATTGGAGCTGCCAACGTAAAACAGAAAGGATCCCATGCATGCCCTGTACTTAGGCCTGGCAAAATTCAACTCAACCTGTGAACCTAATTTAAACTTAACCCGTAAAAACGAGTTAAAATCCATATATTTCAACTCGTGACTTATTAATAACTCATAAATTTGACTCGAATGGATCACGGATCACAAATATATCAATCTGCGAGTTGACAAGTTGACCTGTATAATTTTTTTTTGAAAAAAAAAATATTCTTAAGTTTACTAACTATATTTATTAGCAATAATAATAATAATAGGCTTATTTATTATTATTAACAAAAATTATTTTTTTATTAACCAATTAACCCTATTTATTGCTAATTATGATGGCCCAATTTTCACGCCTCCACTCCACCACTCCACTCCACCTCACCAACTCACTGCAGAACTCTTTCATCTTCATGCTTTATTCGGTTCACTGCTCAAAAATCCCTAACCCCAACGTCTACTCACTACTCACCCTCCACAGGAAACTTTGCATCTTCCCCTTTCAATCCTCCATATCCCTCACCTATCTTAATCACTTCACCAGCCACTTGTTTTAACACTTCCTCTCCCTCTGAACATTCATCCGCCTTCCTTATTCTCCCAAGCCTAATTCTTTCATGTTCAAGGTATGGGTGTTTCAGACCTATAATATTTTTTTTCTGCATTTTGGATGTTCAATTTTCAGTTTCAATATTTGATTTTATTTAACTTAATTTAATTTGAAATCCTATTCTATTTTTATCTAAAAATAGATTTTATTTTCTTGGATTTTATCAATTTTCTTGATTCTATTCCACTTCCTTATTATTTTGATTTCATTTTATGATTTTTTTATGTGGCTTACAATATTGCCTCATCTCCCTTTTAGTTTTTGATTTTTAACTTTTTTCCTTATTTAGTGACTTACAAAACCATCAACCCGTGTGTTAACCCACAACCTATTAAGGTCGGGTTAGGGTTGGTCTTTCTCAACCCGTGACCTGTTGACGACCCAACCCCGTATAACCCGTCATCCGAGCTGATCCAACCTGAACCGGACCCAACCCGCCTGTTTGTTAGGTCTACTTGTACTCCACTTTACTTCCATCCTCATTCTAGAGAGTCAAGGGAAAAAAAAATTTTAATGCTAATTTTGGTCTCTCAACTTTATAGTATTGCACAATTTTCGTTCCTCAACTATTTTTTACACTTTTTTAATCCCTTAATGCCAAGAACTGCACAATTTTGGTCCCTCTATCAATTAAGTCACCCTTGGTAGTTAAAATATTCCAGAATGACACATTTTTTATGATGTGAAATAACACATCATATAATAAGCTTATGTGAACATAAAAATGCCAAGTCAGATTCCACAATATTAAACAATTTACAAATTAAAAGACAAAAATACAATTCTATTCCCACTTTCATCTTCTTTGTGGTTCTCTTTCTCTCTCACTGAAAATTAACTAAAATTTCTCTTTCCATCACCTTGACAATTTGATAAAATTTTGAAAAGAAACAATTCTATAGGATTATAAGGATGGAAATGAAAAAAATTTTAGCATTAGAAATTAAATAGAAAGGTTTTTAGAAGATCAATTTTTTTTAGGTTAAATGCTAATTTTGGTCCCTAAATTTTAAGGTTTTATATAATTTTCATCCCTCAACCTTTTTTATGCATTTTTTTGGTCCCTTGACCATGAAAAATACACTTTTTTAGTCCTTCCATTAGTTAGTTTGTTAAGTTAGTCTAAATATGCACATTTTAGTCCCTTAACTTTAAAAATGTGCATATACTAAAAGTTGGGGGACTAAAAATATGCAGATTTAGATAGGCTTAACGGGCTAATTGACGGAAGACTAAAGAAATGCATTTTTCATAGTTAAGGGACCAAAAAAAGTGCATAAAAAAGTTAAGGAATGAAAATTATGCAAACCTTAAAGTTGAGGGACCAAAATTAGCATTTAACCATTTTTCTACTAGAAATTTCTTTAATAATTTTCCTTCAAAATTTTTTCTTTCTTAAAAATGTAAAAATCATTTGCTGAAACATGACGGGGGATTCGTTGGAACTCCACAATCACTTTGTAGTCTGTTAGATTCAAATTGTGACTCCAAGTTGATGATACACCATCGCTTAAAGTCGTTGTTGGATTAACATTATGTGCCAGGGAGGAGGGAGATAAGAAGGACAATGGAATGGGCAGCTAAAGCAAATCACATGGGAGGAATACCAAAGAAGATAGTGTTCATTATTGCGATTGGGGCATTCACCAAGGCGATGACCACCCTTTTTAATACCACAACCATACACAGTGTCAATACCCTCATTCGTTTATACAAGATTTGAAAAAAAAAAAAAAACCATTTCTAGGTTCAACAAGAATCCTTTGATGGGTTCTTACAAACCCTTCTTGGGTTCCTTGTGAACCCAGATCGTTTGGTTTGTGAGGAACCCAAATAGTTTGGGTTCATAATGAACCTAAATCTAGGTCCATGATGAACCCAGATCTGGGTTCGCGACAAACCAAGGTAGTCTAGGTTCGCGACAAACCAAGGTAGTCTAGGTTCGCAACGAACCTAAATTATCCAGGTTCCTTATGAACCTGGATTGTCTCTACAAGGGGGATGAGAAGGAAGGAAGAAAAGAAGTAGTGATGAAGAGTGAGGAACGATGGTTGGAAACAATGGTGGTAGTGACGAGAACAGAAAGAGAAAGGGCAAAGGAGAATGATGACAAGAAGAATAAATGAAAGGCATTTAAGTTATTTTATATTTAAAGAATGGAAAAGAATTAAAAATGATAATTGAATCTAACTTAATAATTTGACATTGTCCACCTAAGTTAATTATATG